GCCATATCTCGAGTTGATCGACATCTTGCTTTGAGGAACTTATTTCTAGACTAAGTACTCTTTCTCTTAGGGTTGCACCCTTTGATCTGAATCTCGTACTCTTGGATCCGACACTAAGCAAATCGTCAACATTCTTAGAACGTGATTAATGTCAAATCACAATCAATGTCGTCCCAGAAGTGGAATTTTCACATCCAGGACCTCCACCTCGTTTGCCAATAAATCACTTACAAGCTTGTTGCACATTATAGTGTTTGTATCACGATGAAGAAAAATATTTGATAGTATCTACTAGTATGATGAGAGCGAGCTAAGAAGATGTAAAATCTTCTTCGCGTTGGAAATATCCTCCTCCATAGAGATCTATCACCAGATCACCGAAGTCATGTATGTGATTTTGGATTCTAAATTTGGCCCTCATCTTGAACTTCAATAACTTTAGTATGTATATAATATGTTTGACCATTCTTTCTTATGGAACTGTAGATGAAGAGTGTGAAAAAGCATACTGTTATTTGAGCATACTCTTTGACCTGCTTCATAATCAAAGGATCAAAATGCCCCATCATCTTGTACAAGACCATCTCTCATTTTGAAATTGATAATGTTAACATATTTCTTACTGCAAAGTCTTTTAACTTCTCTCTTACCTACTTTTTTCAAAGCAAGTAAATAGTTCGTTCATCAAATAAGACAATATTATAGCCTATTTAAATGCTCCATCTCTATTATACAAAAACTAAAGATAATGGCATTTTCAGCGGCAATTTTTTCCTTGTCCGTCATCTATTAGCTCTCTAAAGTTATTTAAATCCACCAATCACGTTAAGAGTTTTTCAATGATACCCAATTGTCTATTTTTGGAGAAAAATTCTGTCATATAAAATATTTGGATGAAATATTTCACAAAATGTGTCCAAAATTTGTAAAAAATCCATAAAATTTACTCTTTTGATATCAATTCTAGTTTTAGATACTTTGAAAAATAAAGTATAATTTATGTAGGTATTTTGAATCTTACTACTCGAGTAACTATGTTCATTGTGATAGTTCATGATTTTTTTTTCAAGTGGATAGAGGCTAGATCATTGAAATCTACTTATGAAAAGTATTCATGAAATTATCATAACTAGATTTGATTGTTCCTTAGAATTTGTATCGGATAGAGGCGAAGAGTTTGTGAAAAATGCTATTCAAGCCATGTAAGAGCATTATTCCATCAAGATTTGAGTGACCAATTCCTATAAATCCAATGTTAATGGTTTGGCGGAAAGTAACAACTACACACTTTGTATGATGTTCGTCAAAGATGCAAACATGGACAGAAGCAAGTAAAATTAGGACAAGATGCTACATGCTATCTTGTGAGAATATCAAATGACATGGAAGACATCCATTGAATATTCGCCTTTTTAAATGATGTATGGAAATGAGTCAAAACTTTCCATACAATTTGATTTGACTATCTTTAAAACAATCAGAAGTTGAAAAAAACAAGTGAAATAAAACCCATCAATTCTTGCTAGCAACAATTGAAAGAATTAAAGTAAGTTTGAACTATGGTCATTTACAAATGAAACAATCTCAATAGTTCCAAAAAAAATACCATGATAGCCAAATCAGAATTCAAAACATTTTTTCTCTTACAAAAGTCTAGTTTTTTAAAAGAAAAATATGATTTTGATTACATGATTAGTTTTGATTGGTTTGATTAAATAATAGAAATTTCATTGATTAGACTAAGCGAGATTTGACCTATTGGCAAGTGGAGGTTCTAGAATTTTGAGACTTTCAAATGCTATGAAACCACCTCAAATTAATTATTAGAAAGTTTTTAAAACCTATAGGTAGGCCAATGACATGTTGCAACGTATTGAGATTTAGTCAAATATACCATGTTTTATCCTAGTAAAAGTAAATTAAGATGTAATTATTATGTGTTATTATGGTAATTTTCAAGTAGCATATATAGAGAGTTAAAGAATAGACTTTCAAGCAAGTTTGGAGAGTTCATTATGTGAAAAATTGTATCATCAATATTAGTTTGAATTATACTATCATTTTTAATATCGATGAGTGATGAAATTTGAATGATGAATGAAAAATTTATGTATGACGGTGTTTGAAACACAAACAAATTGATAATTCTTTATCTTCTAGAACCATGATGAACTACCGCAAAGCTTTTGAAGTAATCTTATTGGGAGTCAATATGTAGATCACATTTTTGGTTCCTTTACTGAGACCTCAATCTAGAAGGAAAATGTTTTGGATTCAATTTCTTGCCCAAGAAAAGTTTACAATGACTATACATATGAGGCTGACATTTGGAAACGAAAAAGCGAAAGACATGCTTGAGAGTAAAATATACTTTGTGTATCTAATAGTTTCTACTAATACACTGGAGATAATGTTATACATTTTGTTCACCTAAATACGTCATTTTGAAAAAAGTTAGTGGATTTGGAGACTTAAAATTTTGTTTTTCAAGTATTTTTCAAGAATTTTAATGCTTGTATAGTGAAAGATGAAATGTGTTTTTGTTTTATTTTAGGTCGAGATTTTATGTGTAACCAAAATTATGAGTATCATAACTTCATGAAGTTTTGACGAGTATCCAAGATAAAATCTCACGAAATTGTGTACAGAGTTGATAATTTTGTTTATGATTTTTGAAATTTTTTGTAACTTTGCAAAATTGTAGACTAGAAGCTAACCTACGTGGTAAAATTTCATTGAAATATTACTTTCGATAAAAAAGATATGATCTTTTAAAGTCAAAGGGGTACAAAATAAGAATTGAGTCCAAAATTTTCTATTTTAGTCACATGTGGTTTTTGATCACTGAGAGAATATTTTGGAACAAATCTTTTGTGTTTTACACCTTACAAAAAAATTATTAAACAATTGAATTAGAAGCTTAAAAGTATTTCAAACTTGAATGTTATACTCTCTCTAGACTATTTTGAGCATATTACATCACGGGCAAATCCAAATACTAATTTTGATGATACTCAACCAAAACTAATAATATCAAAAAAATCACAATAGCAAATGATTCTTCTTATGATACCTGATAGATAATTGCTTACTTAGTTACTAAGATCTTTGATCCAATTCGTTAAACTATATACACACTAATTGATACAATAAATACTTGTACAAGACCTATGTTCACTGCTAGCAACATAAATTAAAAATCATATGAAATATCATTTAATTTTGACCATATATATATATATATATATATCAATGAGATGTTTATTGTTAAACATATCTAAAAATAATCATATTATGTATTGTAAAATGAGAAAAAATATGTGTTGATCTATTTAATGGAATTTCTAGTTAATTAAATAAAATTATCCAAGATAATTATCACTAATTAAATTCAACTATCTAATTAAACTAAATCAAATTTTTATTTATTTTTTGGTAAAAAGTAACCAAAATCAAAACATTTACTTTCAAAAAGCAACTTTAAAAATAATTATTGACTATGATTCAACTTTTTTATGAGATTTAAAAATTTTGTGTAGCTCAAAATGCTATAATTCATTTTAAATATATTTGTGTTTGATATGATTCTAAATGCAATATCATGTTTGAAACAAAATAAGAAAATTTAGACTTCTGATATTTTTTATAAAAATCTATACATTTTGGTTTTATATTTATAGATTATTTGACATACTTCAATGAAAATTGACAATGTTGAAATATTGATAAGAAAACGTAAATTGAATGTGTTGATGGTGAATTTGAATATAAATTCACTATTATAATTCATGTGTGAATCAAATGTACTTATTATCATGTTATTTGTTGAAAAGATTAGAATGATAGATAATTGTTTCAGTACGTGATGCAAGATATATGTTCATGAAGATTTGAAACTCTATGGACAATATGTAATAATTTTTCATAAATACCTTAAAACAAATATTTCTCTACATTTTAGTAAGTAAGTATCAAGTCAAATGAGATTCATATCATACAGAAGCAATAAGTTGAAATATTATGAAAATAATTTTTGCAATTCATTGCAGATTTTTTAACTTTAAATCTAAACATTAATTTGTGATCATTCACATTCCATGTTTGTATAAAACAGGTAACAATTTTTTCTTAAAGATAGATGAGTTCAAATTAAATTTTACGGTAAATTTCATTCATCCCTTGGGTTCAATATTTATTTTAGAAAAATATATTTGTCCATTTTATATACCGGAACATTAGATGTTCTGAACGTTTCACCCATATTTTTTACATTTCAAACTCTAATTCCATCTTATATTCTTAATCAATTCACATGAATTCAAAAAAAATAAATGTACATTTGCCAATTACAATATATACAATTGTTTTTTAAATTGTAGAGATTCAGTTGAAGAAATGACTAAAAAATTGCACTAAATATTATGATTGATAATCTACTATCTTTTCTCGTCTCAACAGTTCAGAATCATTTTATAAATTTGTAGATAATAAAATCTAATCTAGACATTTAAATACTGTCAATGCATTTTTTATTTATTTCTTCCTCTAAGTTTGATTCTTGAATTTCCTCGGTAAAAGCAATTCTTTCAGAATCATCTTAAATATATTATAGTAGAATACCTACAGATATCGTGTGATTGTGTGAATCTTTCACTAGATTCGATTTTGGGTTGTAATACTTCTTTAAGAATTAAATTATAAATACTATTGTAGAATCTATGCCCATATGTAATATAACTATGTAGGGTTTTTTCCAAATATCGTTAAGATATTCCTCGCTGGTAGGTAGATTTTATATGCTGTTCCAAATTGTTTATTTCAAACGAAGGAACCTGATACAGCCAACATGAAAGAGGTTTGAATTTTACGTCTGCATTCGTCTGCACAATAATGAATGTCAGATTCCATGTATCACTACATTAGTTTGCTTATAGATAATATTCACATCCATTTTTACGAGGACAATCAACGAGAAGACTGTATTTATATAATCAGTTCTAATCAATCCGACAATAATATTTTCAATCATTATTATTATGTTGGGAAGAATAAAACATCGTTGAATCATCTCGATGCTCGCATATGCATTATACACAGAATTCTAATCTATATAATGAAATAATGATTTTGAAAAGATTCTACAGATACTAAAAGTTTCCAACAAATCTGAATCAAAAGTCTGCTCTCAATCAAACATTCTACAAATGCGACAAGTTGAGACGTAAATTATCCTTCATGGTTTCAAATCTAATTTAAACAATTACTTGTCACAACCTACACTGACCCAACAGTCCCGAAGACTCAAGGTGTTCTCAGTTAAGACTGCTCGGTAAACTTCATAGAAGCAATCGTATCCAATATAGCTGTCCACCACAATGTAATGAATGTGGGGAAAGAAAAGTATTCACGTGGCTGCGTTAGTGTTATCTATGAACAAACCGTTTAGTGCAATATATGCTAGATCTTACAGACAATCCACTACGCAGCATTGAGCCTGTAGCAGACATCAACACAAGAATGCAAACCATGATTAAACAGACCTTGTCTAATGTGGTAACACTGATGCGTTCACCTTTGTGCTGAAGAGATGTCACTTTGCGTCTCCTCCAGCTGACAAAGCAGGCTTCTTAACGGTTCACAACAAAAAGTACGACCTCCATCACAGCTAACGACGTTTATTAAACGTGAGCAGATCTGACTACACAATCTCAGGTGGTACAAATAGAAACTTATTTCGCCCACTCGTTCTCCTTGATCTCCAAGCAACGATCATACTGGATAGATGCATGCTGAAAGGCCGGCCAACGTCGATCATTCACAATTAGAGCAATACAAGCTGATATCATATTTGTCTGGTGCTTGATACATAATCCAGCAGAGCAAAAGATGCTATACCGGGCCTCGGTGAACAATCGATTCAAATATGAGGGCAAAGTCCGCTTCAACAGGGCATGGAGTTATGTTAACATAAACGTAAACATATATATAACCTTGAAACCTTACTCGTCTAAGTTAAGCACAACCTACAACGTTCAGATCTTTTCTCTAAATACTGTATCACTAATTGTAAATATTTATAACTAGCAAAACTGATTCTCAGTAAATGTAGTCTTATCTCTCAAGGGGTTGAAAGTCTAGAAGAATATGAAAATCACTAACTACAAACAGAAGCAGATGGAAATGAGTTCCAAATTTCTGGCAGCCTCTTATAAACAGTTGACAAGCGTGAACAGTTCATAAACTTGGAGGAAATTGACTCACCTTTGATTTTCTTTTGATGTTGATATTGGTGAGAAATTCAAGTAAGGAGCCGAGTCAATGCAATCAAGTCAAGTCCTTGAAAGATGACTAGCCCCTCGCGACCACAATCTTTAATTCTACTTGAAGAGAATTTATCAAGAAAATGAGAGCTGGAGGCAGGCCACCTTCCAAGACACAACATGACAGCAATATTTTTTAACTTCGTTCTCATTGACCCCAGTAACACCTTTCTCAAATACCAGTCCACACTCTCTCCAAAAGGATAGGTACAAATCATGTCCTATACACCTTTAACCTTACACACACTGAGCATTTGAAAGATCCCCGATGTACCCAAAATTATAACATATGTGCTTATTAGCAACTCTTAGGCCTCCGCCGCTTCATTCTCCACCAGGGAGGATGTACTTGAAATGTAGGAGTAGACTGATCCTCCACCCAAATGTTGCTTCGAGATAGGTTCGCTTCACTCAATCGCACAGTCAGATGTAAAAATTTTACTAACCCACATACACTTTTAAACGGGAACACAGACTTGCAAACTCACACAAGAAAGATGAAAGGATCCCCCATACGGGAGACAATTAAACAGCAGCATCACTGAAGAGAGACTAGCCGGACTTTTTACGCTCAGCCTAACTGATTTCTATTGGGCAGCTTGCCAAAGAAACACATGGTATACGTATAGCACATCATATAAGCTATGCAACTTCGCAGGTTTTGAGATTCCTGTCAGCATGTACGTAAGAGAAAGATTTGATCAATTGAAGCTAGAGGTTTCCAGAATCCATCAAGACCGTATGAATCACTTGTTCGTTACAGCCTGAGCTTATTTCACCTGGGTTTGGGGTTTTCGTGAAAAAGCTTACTATCTGGATTCCAGACATAGGTCTGAAACACCCATTCTGACAAACAACTCCAGTATCAAAACAGACCCCAATTCACGCCAGTGAGATCATTGAAAAATTCAATGTGTGCCTCGCCGTGGGCAGCGGGCTCCCGATCATACGTCAGTCGTTCAGCGTTAAAATGCTTCACCTAAACGTAGCTCAGGAACCAAACCGACTGCACGTGGAATATACACGCAAGGTAGGATCGACTCGTCGTCGAAAAGGTCAAATATGTGTAATGCATGGACGTGGAACTTAGTAGAAATGCACATTTCCTGGATTTGCAATTGCAACCGATCTTTTGTTTCGCATTAAAACAAGATTTTACGTCAATACTTCATTTCCTCACTCCCGTTCACTGGTCCAGGGGTTTCAACGCAGAAGCACTTGTATGGAAGAGAATGAGAACTAATAGTTTACGCCTACCACCTGAGCGGGAGAAGTTTGTATGCATGGTATGAGTGAAGAACTACCGCGCACGTGCACTCGCAACCCCAGGTCGAAGACGAGACCGTAGATTGCACTCTGAGACAAAGACTTCTTGCTGCATCTACCGGAGTAGACTTGACATGCATGTGAGGTTCGACACACGACAAGGAAAGATGAGCAACATTTACTGGCCTGCGTCAGAGCACCCCACTTGTGAAGATCTGCCTACTATGGAGCAGCTAGTCCAATATCAGCAAATATATAAGATTGATGGTTTTCTTTTGCCATAATTTTCTTCAGACAGCACGAAGTCGATATACAGAGGTACTACGTCGTTACACCTTAGTCACAGACAACGATCAGTTTACAATTGAGAGCGAGATCTTCTCATCAGTGCTACAAGGAGGTAAGAAAAAAAATATGAAAATATGTACGAAGAAGATGGGGACTTACAGACATTGTCCAATAGTACCAAAGGAGGAGTAGCCTTCATGTTAGGTGTACTGGACAAAAGCGTCAGACTGAAAGCGGCGGCAGTCTCAAGATGGCTAAATAGAGCATCTCCGACACAAGATTGTGCATACATTAGGTACACATCGCAGTCAGTGGTCACTCAAAGCTCGACCATTCCCTAGACCAAGTTGCAGCACGTGAAAGCAAACATCTGAGTATCAAACCCAAGAAAGCACGACCCGCTTCAGTTCCAAGAGTCCCTTAAGTTAGCCAAGATAGCCGTGCACCGCCGGCCATCGATCACGTCAGTCCATCGTAGAAGCAAGCAAGCAGTGTCCCAATGGTCCGAGAACAAGCTCAAACTTGTCTGCGGCTTCTGATACGGGGCCGAAGAACACGATCAAGAACTCCTCGGGATCCAATGCCGATGATGATGATGATGATTGCAGTGAGGAACTGCGAGGAGATCGGCTTCTTTTAAACGTATCGTCGCAAAGTCTTCGAGCGGAATGGGCAGACCGAGACCGAGAGCGAGCGAAGAGGAGGAAGAGCGACGACGACAGAAATTATCGGAATCCACGAGGAGTACAACGTTAGAAGACAAACGCTCGGCAATTATTCCTCCCACTTTCTTTTCCACGGGCGGGCGGACGGACGGCGGGGAGCGCTGTGGCGAGGCAGGATGCAGCATCGGACCGCTCATCGGACATCGCAGAGCGAAAGCACCGCACCGATGGCAGTTTATTATTTAAGATCAGATGGACGACGTGACTGGAGAAGCCGGGCAACGGACTCGAGCAGCGCCAGATCGGACGTCATCGAGCGAGAGCCACACCGCAACCACTCGCTACTGCCCTCGAACGCAGACGCTTAACCACGCCGCGGATGAGACTACTCCATCCCCCGCCCCGTCCCGTCCCGTCCCGTCCCTCGCTGGCGCGGCGCCTTAAGTGGGACGTTGTCCAAAGGCGACGAACGCTCCGCCGCTTCCGCGGCCCTGCATGCCGACAAGAATGTCGAGGTCGATTTACGCGCGGCCCAACGGGCGTCGCCCTCGCTCTCGAGCCATGGCGGACGCGGAGATATTCCGAATCGAGGCTCGAGACTCGTTCTGGCGCGGTATCGGAGCCATCGCAGGGCTGAGAGGTTTCACTGTGCGGGTGATGTGTACAAGCCAACGCCAAGCTAGCGAATCCGAGGTCCCGAGGCGCGGGGGCGCCTGCTGGCTTCCCCTGCAAGCCAGGACCCGCGCTTCGTCTGCGATCGAGTCCGAGCGCGGGTCTTATCTTGGCGCGGCGTGGTGGCCACTTATTCGTGGGAGGCGTCCGCAGGTCTTCCGGAAGACTTTGGTTGCATTTATGATTATTATGGCCTCTGAGCACATGCATGGATGGAGTGAGTCGATGGGCTCATGGAGACAGAGAGACCTGCTTCCGATCCGCACATCGATCGGTTCGCGGCCTGCTTTTGCAAAAAGTGTCCAATTGTCGTTGTCCCCTTTTTCCCGATCTGCCACATTCAGAGCCCGCGAGTTTTATCTCGCTTGTGGCGACGAATGTCTGGCAAACAGACCACAAATCTGAATTTCGTGTCCTCCGCTTTAATTTCCACCTGTTTGAGAGGATTGGACGTTTTTTGAGACATTTTGGAAATTCAACACGAATACTCTCGCAGTGATATTAAATTTCTTCCTCTGATGTACCCGGTATCTACTTGCAACTACGTGTCACTGGGAGATCGATCCACGAACGCCGTCTGATGTCACTCTCTCGATGTTCCCGTCGTAGTTTCCTCTTTCGTTCGTGGTGGACTTTTCGTTCGTCAAATCCCCACGAACCTCGAGGAGATTTGACGTCCTTCAGTTTACAACTGAGAAATCCTCCGGTTCATTCGCCCTGAGCTGCAGAATTTGCCCCCACCACGGAAGACGAACATGACGGAAGATCGCTACAATTCAAGGTTTTCAGTTTAGACTGGGGCTAGCTATCCTTCGTGATTAAGAAAGGATACATCGTCCTTTACTTGCATGGGAAGAAGGAAATAGATGCTATAGAGTCTTGGAGTGGAGAGCAGATGCATGACGGAGGAGAAACAAGTGAGAAGTCTCCATTTTGGCGTACACAGACAAGCACTGAGAGATTCGAGCTTTCATACAGCCGCCGCAGGCCCTGTAATTTCAGCCACATGGAGTGTAAAGTATTTTCTTGCAGAACTATTCCGACATGTGAGCATCTTGGAGTCGGTGTAAAGATATCCTGTCAAATCCACCCATCTTCGACTTCTACGCATCCAAGGGCATTGATTTTGTATCATTGTTTCGTTCTCTGAATGTGGACGACTGCCTTCTGCTGTGATGTTGATGGTGTGTGTGTGTGTGGACGAGGCCACGTACAACCTCCGAGGTTCAGAAAGATTGATTTTTGAGATCCCAAGGAAAGAAGATGAGCCTCCCAGTTGTATTCAGATTGTAGGACGAATCGACATCTTTACCTTCATGAAGCATTCTCCGTACAGAAATGTCGGTTTGGAGCCGAAATATTATCATATCGCCGATCCGCCTTTCAGGCATTTGGGTTGAGCTGACGCACGCACGAGCGGTTGTTCGTTGGCTTATATTATTCCACTCTCTCGCCAATTTCCTACAAAATTTTCAGGCGCTGCGAGTGGGGGCTAGCACCTAAATCTGATCGTAGGGCATGCGCCCTATGTTTAAAGTCTGCTGTGTGCAGGAATGTGAGACAAGGACACGGACAGCCGAACAGTTGCAAGGTCGCTCTGTTGGACCACTGTAGGGTCTTCTCCTTCGTAATCCGCCGAGCCTCGCGGACTATACTGTTCGCCCATCTGATCGTAAAGGATGTTGTCTTGGGGCAAGTTCTTCTCTTAGGGCGGCAGGTCAGCTCATCGAAATGCTCGCTTCTTGGGGTAAAGAAAGTGCCCCTCAATTTTCAGACAAAGCTCTGGATGATGACAACATGAGCATCGGCGCCTGATCAAAAGTCTCTGCAGGACTGGATAATTTGATCACTTGATGTCATCGCTGCGTGAGGATCAGGCCGGGAAATCACAAAATTATCTACGAATGATGACCTAGTGATATATTCACCGGAGGATGCTCTGGAACCCAGTGGCACAGTTGGGTTTTACATGACGAAAAAGACCTGGAGACCTTAGTTGAATCCCACAGTGGCACAAGGAATCAGGTATGAAGCATCCTCAATAATGGTAATAAATTTGCTATCGTCATCAAAGGTCTACAACAAGAGAGAGTGGTGATTAATCTCGCGTCTTATGTGTTGGACTTAAACTAAGGTGTGTGGCAAAGCCGAGGGTGAAAAGATGGAGGTGGTTAACGAGTACACAAGAACAGAGGCGGCGTAGATTCTTGATATTCTCACCACTTCGGCACGAAAATTCATTGTGAAAGTGGTTCTCAGGTACGAAAGGGCATTGGTTCATATGAGAATGGTTCGAGCATGAAATTTCACCATTTTGTGTTCAAACTGGTATCAACCATTCATCTCTATCAGAAAGAATCGGGAATTTTCAGTTTAGAGTCAACTTAATTCTACGCATCGTCAACACCTCTGTTTTCATTTGCCATGATCCCTGAGATTCATGCATCAGGATGACAAGCGTTTCAATAACAGGGTGTCCGCTGAGGTTCAATTCGGTGTTTTCCAGATAGCTACAAGTTCTATGTTTGACTCCAAGGCAAGGAGCTTTCTCAAAGAGCCTCTCACCTCGAATATACGAATCCGTGCAAACTGCCCGAAGGAACGACCCTAGCTTGGTAATAAAATGTTACAGGAGAGGACAAACTGCCCGAAAGTACCTCTCTGTCTTGGCAGGTAAATGGTACAGAAGGTCCTCCAAAAAAATTATAAACGAGGCTGTGGAGGGCAAATGTCTAGAATACAAAGACAGATCAAGACAAGCTCTGGGGATGGTTGAAACTACTCATCTTCTTCTTCCTCCAGACCCGGGATGAGTAGGAGATTCACATCAAAGACCACAGGGCTACTCGGTGGAACCCTGGGTCGTCCAGCAGCTGCACCGAGACCTTTTGGGAAAGCCAACTGCAGATCCAGGAACAACATTTGTCAGTGCTTTGGCCTTCGGACTTTTCTGGAAGGTTTCTTCTAGAACCGGCATTAGATATGTCAATATTCTACATTAAGTGAGTTGGAACATTGAGTTTATCTTTGAAGGGTCCAGCTCTGGGGCTTTTATAATGCTGTAAGAACCTACTTGGCACAATCGAACAGTCAATCAAGCTCACCGCAAATTGGAACAAGTGTTTACCTCTCCAGGAATGTACAGACGACGTTTTCCACCAATTTTCATAGTCAGGATACCTTCATCCAGACCCTTTATGACCTGAATGCAGCAATTACGCAGTATTACGGTAGTTAGCTGTTGTGTGCTAAAGAAAACACCGATGCCGAAAGATGCGGAGCATTAAAAGGTAGATAACACAGAACGCGAAGACTAGGCAAGACATAGGAAAGGTTTCGATTACAATCTCAGATGACAAATGACACTTGCGTGAGAGACAATCTGAATAGTCATAAGTTATTGACCTAAAGAGATTGAAGAAACTGGGAACAGGGTAATTTTCTGTACCTGACCCGATCCAACCCTGAAGATGTAAGCCGACCCCTTGTCTAAAGAACTGCAAGACGCAAAGACGAAAGAATTAGGAAGATTGGACAAATGATTCTCTGAGGCAAACAGTAGATTTGCAGGGGCTGAGCATCAACTGTTTGCCCTGCTCTACGCTCGTTGCTAGTGCTCAGCCTCGTGCTCAGGCTTTGTCGAAAAGACTCCACCCAAGAACACAGCAATTCCAGAGCTTACCGACTAGTTTACGACGCACAGCATGAGAAGCACGAGTGGAAATGTAGCTCCTGTTGTGGTACTATTTGTGTGCTTTATGTTTTTCTCATATTTTCCTAAAATTATGCTTAGGAGAGAAAGAACATACAAACATTTTCGTCAAGTTAATTTCATTTGCGGGAACTGGCAACTGAGTCTACACAATATAGCAAGTCCTCAGGTCTTCACTTCGTTGCAATAACAGTTCATTCACTGCGTGCGACGCATTGTGTAAAATGAAGGCATGACGTTTGACAGCCACGGTGCTAAAGATGGGAAACTTGCGTTTAGTGAGCATTATATACAATCTTCTGCTCGGAGTTGGAGCTTAATTATCAAGCCACGTCTATGGTTGATAGGGTCAGATCTCGAATTGAGACCGAAACTCAGTGACGACAGAGTGGATCTTGAGGATCCAGCATACAAATCTCAAATCTTCAGTGATGGACTTGTTAGTACCTGTCGAAGATTTTCCCAGAAGGAATCATTGCCACGTAGTGTGCATACACCTGGGGATCAAGAACGAGGTCCACACAGTAAAAGTCAGAACACAATTCGACTCAGAAAATCCCAAACCCCCTGAACCCGCTTGTTACATGCCTCCGAGATGGAAGGAGCCAAACTTTTATGCACGTAAGTCGGTAAACTATCAGCAATATCCAAGAGATGAGCGACAGAATTCTTCTTCCATACATTTCCGATAACTCGTCACGGTTATTCTAGAGGTCCGTAAAACTGATGACTGCCAGCTGCTGGTACTTCCCAGTATGACTTATCCAGAACTACTTACGACATTTGGTTCTTTAGTGCTTCAATTACTTCTAGCTCCAAACATCTAACAAAGAGAAGAGGGGTGTACCTGGTATCCAACAGGTGGACTCGGGCCCTTTCCGACCACAATATCCTTGTACTGTAACCCAGATGGAGTTGTAATTGTCGGGATCTAAGGACACAAGCAACATGGAAACGAAATCCAGTTACTTCGTTAACAGATATGAGTTTTAGCAACACAATTGTGGAAAAGGCAAACATAGTGTCAAACCATGAAAGTAGTTGGCTCACCATACATTATCTAATTCCTTCTCGCAATCGGGACCACATAGACGTGGCTTCTCTTCCTCTGGTAAGCCTGCAGCGTCCGCTCTTTCGAAACTCTGAAACAGAGAATAAGTTGCGGCTAACCCGCAAAACCCCACAGCGGCTCTTCTACTCATCGACACCTGTGCTTCTGCTCCGGTCTCTGCAGAATTGCATCCTGAGCATCGGATGGGAGACAGAACTGCAGGCGATCCATGTCGGGCCTGTCTCACAGAGTTGGTGCCCAATGCTGTGCAAACATTGCATACATTGTTCAGTAACACGGTACGTCCAACAGGTATTCAAACTTAAGCAGCGCAATTGGCTGGAGAATGTCAATTACTGTGATGCAATACGACCAGATACACACCAATTCCAACGAAGCGGCCAACGGACGAGGAACACATTCCGGAAAAGTTATGATGAAACGCGAAGAGGACCACAATACTGGGAGAGCATCCCTGACAGAATAAACTCTGGGAGTTCTAGGGAACAAACAGAGTTATTTTAGCTCCCAATTTATGTTCTTAGATTTTAGTTGTTTCTGATTTTAACTGAAGAACTCAGATACTAACAACAAGATAAGCATCGAATCTTGAAAGAGGGCAGCTTCTTCGGTCCCCGAACCATTTCTTCGATTAAAGAAAAGAACCGACGCATGTGATGAGCGGGCCCAATTCCAGCAGTTCGATTCTTGAGCGCAATGCTAAGGCAAGCGGGTAACGCTCGGAAAATAACAGGAAAGTAACAGCGAAAACGCAGAGACGATGGTCGAGATGCGGAAGAACGAGACAACGGGGAAGCATTCAAATTTGCCCCGCAAGAATGCACGCGCAAACCACACAAGACCCAGCAAGTAGCACGCATCAATCACAGAAATCACAATTGGCACGAAATTCACCACGCGGAAATAATGGCAACAATTCGAAGCAATGCCGACGAGGAAAACTAGAGGTTGCTCAGAATCACGATGGGACAACTGACCGGTGGGCAAGTGGACGAGGGAAGCCATAGCCACAGCCTGTGCCATGGCAATTCACGGGCACGTCGTTTCTCCGAGGACCGTCGTCGTCTGCTGCAGTCGATCTTCGAAATCAAGAACTCGCTGCAGAGCTCAACGCACGGAGCTCTCGCTGGAGACAGAGACGATGCTGTAGTTGATGGCACTCGATGCCCGGGGACATATCCAATCTGTTCATCGCACTTTGAACGCCTCGGATCCCAACTGCTAAAAGTGACGACTACATTATCCACTCCCTAATTTGTGGCTCTGGAAAGTGTTCGCACTCCTTTCCAGTGGCTTGTTTCTCCTCCAATTTTGACGAAAAACGAGTAATATTGCAACGAGGATGGAGTTTTCCAGTCAGGTCTTAGGGGACGATGGGCTAACTTCCAATAGCATTACAGTGGTGTACATATAAATATAGGTAAATACAACTAATAGTATAATACAACGAATGTGAATAGTTAGTATATTTACAGGAATTCTCCAACAGTACTTTGGCATCATAAGAACACTCCCCTTTTTACCTTTTCTTACCTTATCCCTTTCTAGACTTTTAAATACTGCACCACGTCGTGTTTACTTTTTGCATACAGGCCACCTAAATGATATACACGTATTCTTTAGCATATATATATATATATATATATATATATATATATATATATATATATATATATATATATATATATATATATATCTCTCTCTTCATAACTCGCAGTTCTCATGTTAAAACACGAACTTGAAATTTCAACAAAAATGTCTCACGACGTTCTATACTATACTTATCATTGATAAGTTATCAATGATATCCGTGTTGCCGGCATTGTAAAATCTGTTTTTTCACAAGATAAGTTTAAGGAATATATAGCTCAATAACTCAAAGGCTTGAGTAAGAAATAGGTGATAACTCTGAATACCTCTATACTTGGAATACCGCTCTATATCCGTGGTCATCACCCTTCAGAAAGTGTGTCACATATTCAACATATTTTAACATAGAAAAAGTCAATCAAAATTCCCACGTGGTTAATCCACTATAGTCAATCAAAGCTTATCACATTTTTAATCCAAAGGGGTCTATTCTCTAGCATCACGGCGGACATAAAAAAAATAGACCCGTGAAGTCATTATAATAATCTACATGAAAAGACTTTTAGATGTTCATATGTTATATATTGGACAAGTCTCATGAGAAATATTAATTGAATTGAATAAATATTTGCTGATAAATGAAAAAATTCAAAAGCTAATGCTAACACTTCAAGATCTCCAAGGCTATTTGTTTCCCCATGTATAGAGGTAAAAGATAAAAAATTATATAGCTTTTTGAACTAGCCATGCACACGTTATGTATTTGTTCATGTAGAGTTAGCTTGCTCCATGCAATCGACAAAAATCCCAAGCATATTTGTTTTATTTGGATGTGTATAGATACCTCTTGCAATGTCAATCTGATTATTCATCGTTCTTTAATTTATTGAACACATCATCATGCCACTAGATTAAAATTGAATTCATATTATATCATTTAGTGCATCATGTATCTAACCATCTCAAAAACAAATAACAAGGCTATGATGGCTTTTATAGTCCATAAGTAGATACATTTTTAACTTGAGCAATGATACATCATGAATTTAATGTGATTCCATCACATATAATTTAATTAAAATTTATTTATTTATTAATTTTGACGTAAATTGATTTGGATGTATCAATTATATATCAACTTTGCGCATCTGACTTTTATAATGATGATGTCATGAGAAATGTACATAGCATTTTTTTAATTTTCATATATAAACTTATATTTGTGTATACATAGATTCATGTATTTACAACCAACTAAATTTATTTTCAGATAAAATTTTCCAGCTTAAATTTATGTCAATTATTTTTGGATATTGGAATTTTCTTTTTTTAATAATACTATTTAAATTTCTCAGTAATGAAATATTTTGCACAATTTTTGTATTTTCAAGTTTAAAAGAAGATTATATAGAATAGCGATAACAATCATGTTGATATCAAATTGAATCTACAATTATCTTATCCATAAATCTGAAAATCTTATAACTTTTTTTCAAGCTTTAAATGCAAGATTCATTATTATCGTTCATCTACAACAAACCTATCAGATATCTCATCAACGCATATAAGCAACAAAACGTCCTAGTGAAATATTATGGCAGTGATTAACATTCATTGCTTCACTCATGTCTTGTATGTCTATATGTGTAGAATACCATTCAGTTATGAACTATTCATTCATATTTAGTTACATCTAATTGTAAAATAAATCTAGATCTTACTACGTTTACAAACCTAAAGCTGTCGGTTCAAATCCCATCGTCTCCGTAGTCAAATTTTCTTTACCTAATTTAGAATGGGATGTTATCAAAATGGTTATTGTGCTCAAGAACAAGTTGAACATTCCAATTTCGATGCTAGTAATTGCATTATGTAACAGATTTTGGATTGGATAATAAAGTCAATCGCACTTATAACGGGTATGTATAGCTAATATAGTACCTTGTGAAAATTATGAAGAATTATAATTTCTTCCAAGATAATGAAATAGAAACACATTCGAATTAAAATGTCTAGCATTGCTGGCGCGGAGTATCAGGCTGGATGGATAGCTTTTGTGGACAAGCGCTGTGATAATCGTGGCACTTTATCTCGAGTCGAAAGGGCGACTCGGTGTGTGGAGAAGATTAGTGCTTGGAATGGGCAAACACTTAAGCTGTCGATCACTTAAGGTGATCTTCAGTCACTCAAGTAAGCTGTTTTTTTTAGAGAAGCATATTTATCAAGTAATTTTGATTATTTATATAGAGTCTTTTAATGTGAAGATTTATTCTTCTAAATTTTCTTTATTTTGAAAGTTATTTCATTTCAAGGTTTGCATAATTAAAGATTTTTTTTCAAAATATGCTAATTACGTGATTTAATTACCTTTCCCTAGTCTCTTGCAACCTGGACTTCAATCTGAGCGCCTTCTATACTCCTATCAATGAAAAATGTGATCAAGAGTGTATTCTGCACACAAGATAGAACAATGATTCCGCTTTCAGGTACATTTGGAGTCGTTTGTTTCGAATAGTTCTTCTTAATCAGCAATGCCATTTTACTTTATCTATAAATTACATTAGATCTTTAACAGGTTTTAGTGAGAGCACGCACCTGCATTTGTTACTACTGCCGCTTACGTATTTGCGATAATTCGATATTACAAAAATTTTTCTTTTGAAGAGAAGAGGTCTCGTTATTGGACTTTTGGCTAGATCGACCCCGACCGTATACCTCGCGGGTTGACGGTATACGTACACCGATCGTGTGTCACCGTCATCCAGGGGTTTCACCGTCACTGGGGTTTTCGAGACGAGGCCGGAGGAAATTTTCGTCTCGCATTTCTTGGAAAGCTCTTTGCGATCAGGCTAAACCCATACGGTGCGCGCGCCAAGAGACTTCGTGCGGGGCTTATAGTCTTGGATATTCATCTCACCTGCAGCCTAAACTATGCCAACTAGACTATAAATGTCAAATAATCTTAATGGATCCCGAACGATCCTTCAGTGGAGCATCACCCCATCTAAATTAACAAGAATCACAAATGTTCTCTTTGAGGTCTTAGGAATGACTACGACCCCAAAGTAAACGTGTTCTCCCGTGACTTGATGGCAGACATGCAGTGGAGCATCACCCCATCTAAATTAACAAGAATCACAAATGTTCTCTTTGAGGTCTTAGGAATGACTACGACCCCAAAGTAAACGTGTTCTCCCGTGACTTGACGGCAGACATGCTGTGTATCTGCGGGAGTTATTGTCGTGGCCATGGAAATTTACCAGAAGCTCGCAGGATGAATTTTAGTCCTGTAAAGCTGAAACATTTCGGGCACAATGTCAGCTACGGAGCTGTAGGCAGCTAGTCCCTGAACACGATCTAGTCGCGTTCATGAACTGGACGAGTCGATTTCAAGACGTGATTGCATTATACTCGTGCATGTCTAGGTCTCGATCACAGGGATGGTGCTTATTTTCCTCATTATTCCGTGGAATCCTTATCATCAGAAGTGACTGCCGTGTCTGAGGAATGATCCCCCTACCTGGGTGCATGAATTCTAATCTTGTGAACCCTAAACCCTCTAATCGACAAAGCAGCTACGGAGCAGCCAGCGGTAAAGCGCTGAGAATCGAAGGTCGTGTTGAGCAAATGCATCGAACGTCTTCTAGAGGGTGCGAGCTCGACGGGTGAGTTCTTCACGCGACGGTGACAAAGGAGAGACCGTCACGACGGTAACCGTATGCCGTCAGCCCACAGGCATACGGTCGGGGTTGATCTAGCCTGCAGTGTTATTGGCTTCACATATCTCTGTTCGTCCTCGGAGAACTACATTTGTAGTAGATTTCACTGAGTATATCATACACATCTGGTTATGGTACACATTTTTCATACGAGGATTCATTTTCTTAGATGGTCCTATGTAGATGAGTGGATCATGTCCAAGATTACGTTTCATCATGAGGATGAACAAAACTGCGGATTTATATTATATAGTTTTTCCATTGAGAAACTTGCAAGCTTTCGTGGAGGGACAACTCTTCGGTCTATAATTTCTCTTAAGAAATATGCAGACATGTTAGCTGGCATGCACTTCTCCCTAGGGGTCTTTCATTTCAAGTGTGTGGACTTGAGGGTCGTCTTCCTTTCTACATTTTTCAGGTATGTCGTGAAAAAAGACACACACGCACACACATAGAGTTGTAAATAATCTGCCAAGTTTTGCATTTGGCTGAAACTTCAACTCCGTCTCCCGGCGTGGCATCCGTGAATCAGTCCGGGAGACATTCAAAAGTGAAGGCTGCCGCAAATCCTAGTCAACTCCCTTTGTCAAGCACCTACTACTGTACAGGATCTCGCACTACCAGTCCTAATGCTGTTTACTGTTCCTCTCACGACACACCTTCGTGCACCACGTGCCCACCTCTGGAAAGTTTCACTATATCCATTCCATACCTTTATTCTCCAATCAGCATGCTAGAAACCTCGTTCACCTCCCCATTCTGGTTCAGCATGCGGAGTTCGGTAGATCTGAAGTCCCTTCTCCTCCACTCAAACAATTGGAGCTCAAGCAAATAGCAAGAAAAACCACAAATAGTCTTAAAATTGCAAAGTGTTAATTCTAAAGTAAGGATCAAATCCTTTAAAACGAACTGGAGAAATGTTTTGAATTGCGTAAAATTTGAGGCCATCAATTGAGGAATCTACTGAGAACCCATACTTTATTAAATTTTAATATGACTTTATAGAAAATTATTAGACTTATCAATGCCCACATGCCTAGAGCTGATTGTGACCACCACATATTGAACTTATTTACCGACCGTAGAGGTTCACGCTCAATACCATTTCTTTTCTACTTCAGCAATGCTGTCAATTCCCCTTCATCAAAGTGTCGACTGAAAATATTATATTTTTTCATCTCGAGAAGAATAATGCATTCCAATAGCCGGCCTCTTGTAAGGTTGGCGTGTACAATTATTGGAATGACTATAACAATAAGATCGAGTACTCGTTTCAAGAGTCCTTGGCGGTGGTAGCCATTTATTTATTGCATACGTGCCGGCCACCAGATTCAGACATGATCTCTTGGAAACGTCTATCTTGTGCCTCGCGCTCATAGGTAAGGGCTAGAAACAGTTTCATCGGATTAGTTATTAGTTTAGACAAGCATTTTATACCCATCAAGGTTTGAATGGTAGGCATGGAAATTGTTCTTGAAAGAACTCGTTCTGAAGGAGGAGAAGATTGGCGTCGTACCTGCAGATCAGGAGAGTCGGTGTATCGCACTACAGGCTCGAATCACTTTTCGGTTCTGATTCGTCGCCCCTTTACCATATCAGTGGAAAATGAAGCCGAGGCTCTTCTTTACATCGAAAGATGGAACGTATCGTCGTGAAATGTCCATTCAATCGACATTATTAAATGGGCCGATCGAGACGATCGTTTCGCATTGGACTTCAGACTTTTCGTTTCCCTTTCGTGGGCTGTTGAAACGAACATCGGCGACTTGAACGCGGATCTTCTTGAATTCCAGTTCTGGAGCTTTGAATGAGCCTTCCCGCGGCCTTCCGGGCGCTCGCGACCAAGGCTCCAATTTAGACATCGCTATATATAGGTAGGCTTTGAAGGAGTCGTCGAATGTCAACCTTCTGGCGGAATTGCCACGTCAGAGGATCAGGGCAACCTCTGCAATGATGCAGTGATGGGACGTCGTATTCCCCGAGGTCAAGATTCATCAGTGCAAAACTCAACCCCGGTTACGTCGACCGGTCAGAGCAAGTCTAGATCTCACGGTAGGTGCTAATGGGGTCGATTGATCGCACATGCCTTCACGGGGTGGGTAAATTATACCGGTCTCCAGTTTTCGTTTAATATTCATTTCAACCGCAATTCATAATCTTACGCAGAATGGCGGTGGAATACATACTCACGTTTTCTTCTCCCTCCGGTCCCCCTTCGGACACGCACGAAAGCATGTACCGAAAATCATGATGCCCTCCTGACTAGCGTCTAACCTCGGCTACTACTTGCCAGAAAACCCGCGGTTGATTTCGGGGAATCCGTCTGTCCGGCTGTCGGTCTGTCCAACTTTGCGGCTGCTGAGCCGTCATGGGGACAGCGACGGAAGGACAGATCTAGCTTTCTAACTCGCCACTGCGGTCGGGATCGACGGGCGACGGCGACCCGGACGACGACACCGATTCCGTGCGTGAGGAGCGCGCGTCAGTTGTCCAACGAAGGACGTACTTTGTCATAAATCTGCAGCCGTCTTCTGACTTTTGGAAAGTTATGAACGATCCCAAGATCTCCGAGCGCAACGAGAAGGAAGCTCGCGAGAGGAACACCAGCGGGCGGAGCAGAGGAAGGGCTGGGCACGCGAGAGTGGGCTTGGAGTGTGTTTGTGTGGGTGTGGAGGGCGGATCCGCTGCCTATTCCCTCCTCTCACTATTCATTTCTTCTGCCTGGTCGTGTTACTGTCACGCGATTCTCGTTTGTGCCGATCCGCCGGTTTTCCGGGCCCATTTTAACGCGGATTAGCAGCGCCCAGCGGTTTTTAGGTGGTTTAAGATCTGCTCGATGTGAGAAATGTTCGTTGATGTCAGTCGTGGGGAGAGAGAATCAATCGGATTCTTCGTCAGAGCTTTCCACCACCACCACCACCAACACGACGAGGAAATCGTTTGGATGTCTGGTGTTGGATCGTGATCCGATGTGATCGAGAAATGAGTGTTTTTTTTTACTGATGTGTTTTGTATTGGCGGATATGGTTTCTTGGCGTCCTTCTGGATGCTGCCTCGTTTTTTGAGAGGGTGGAATGAATCGAGATTGGAGATTTTGGTTCCCGATCGTTTCCGATTGGAGTAGATGGTTGTAGAGAGACGGAGAAAGCCGAATCGCTGCTGGAGGTGACGGGAGATACAGAGTCGAAGGCGTAGATTTCCAAATTGGGAGGAATCGCCGAAGAACTCTGGAATAGAAGTTGCCGGGCGGGGAAAAAAATGAGGAGGAAACACGGGGATAGCGATACGGGATGCCGGCAGTGGGTAGTTTTCTGGAGCGTGCTGAGCGCGACATGTTTGGCGGTTTACGTTTTTCTGTCCCCCTTTTTCTACGAGACCTTCACGGACAACTTGCAAATGGTAGTTAAGTTGCGGGAGGATAAAGCTGACTGCTGCAGAGGAATGGATCATTTAGAATATTGGGGTCGCGCGGTGAAATGGGGCTCCGAGCACCAGGTCAATACTTCTCAAGAGTGTTGTGCAGCTTGCAAGGCTCTGTGCACCGACGACGGTCCCTGTCAATGCAATTCTTGGGTTTTTTGCGGCGATCAAGCCAGGTGTGGGCCAAAGCTGGGCCAGGTAAAACACTTGTTCTCTTCGTTTTTTTCCTGCCGATCTCACCTGAAGTGTCTAGCAATTCAATAAATGTTTCTGTCCTCTCAAAATCATGTGGTTTTCCACTACAAACTGGAGCATGGAGGTGTTGTCCTATTCTGCGGTATTTTATAGGAACATGTAAGTAGAGCAGTCAGTATAGAAAGCGAGACCCCGACAGTTCGTTTGTTTCGTTGGAGGGACACCCGTATTACCACCGCAAAGGTGATGCCGCAGATCTCTGAACATGTGGTGATAGGATCTGTCCTCTCCCAACGTTCATAAACTTACCTGTGTATATACGCTGGATGGTAAACCTGTCAATCAATGCAGTACGAAATTCACCTGTTTGAAGCTATCCTGACTGCTCACAAGGCACAATCGTTGAATACTGTTGAGTATATCATGTGTCGTGAAGCTGAATCTTCGGTTGCCTTATTGGCGATTTGACGCGATGCATTCTTGACTTTTCCTTTCTGTCCTCGTTCTAGTTGTGATCGGTTATGAATGGAGATAAAGAATAGTTGGTTTGTTGGTGACAGTGCTGGCTGAAAAAACAAGAGGATCCTCTCAATCCTGACGTGCAAGAATCTGGCGAGCAAGTGATGTGGACGTCCGGGCTGATTTTCGGAAAGGACGTGGTAAAAGCCCTTGCCCCTATATAATAGGGTGATTATTTCTTTTTCTCAAATGTGGAAACAGTGAACGCATATGTCATTTTCCAACTAATGAACCCCATCACTCCTTACTTTCTAGCCGTACGTCAATGTTAATGAGGGTGAAGAATGGAATCGTTCTGTCTGTTGCCGAGGCTGTATCGGACATTTGACTCAAGCCTCATGGTCTTTTCAATTGCAGGGCATTTTGGCGCTGGAGACTGAGCATGGGGCCATACGGATTAAGGTAGATTCTTGCAACTCTGGTTACCCCGCACTATGGTTATGTTTGTGCTTCATCTTATCTGCTGTATAGCATATGCCGTCAATCCCAAGAAACACAGACAGGAGTATGTTTCGAATACCCAACTTCTACCTACGTCGGGGTAGCAGCACTGTATCATGCTACATTGATGTCTTTTATGTATTGCCCTTGCACGTCTTTCCCAATATTGACAGAGCTTTCTTAAAACATATGTTTCTCATTAGCCATGTCTCATTACCCAACACTTAGTTCACCTTCTCGTGCCAACTTCACAGAATCTCTTGAAGCTTGTCTAAGTTTGGGTTCACACACAGTGCCGGAATGTTTATGTTCACAATTCATAATTTAAACTTCATGGTGAAATTTTCTTGAAATGAGTAGAATTTAATTTTGAAAATGTTGCCATGATCAAACAGTTGCTCCCGGATTGCGCCCCATGGTCTGTACAGTATTTCACTGAGCTGCTTAGATTGCGACATTGCGCTGGTTGCCAAATTTATCGAGCGGAGGCCCGAGGATCAGCTTGGGATGCTTATGGAAAGCATATCAATAAGGTACTTCAATTCGTACCTCAAAACTTCTAAGTCCCATACTCATATGTGAACACGGGTCTTATGGAACTATTACCGCTGAAGCTTGTGATATTCGAAGTTTGTATCTAAGTTTCATCACATTGTATGTATATGACCACTGTGAAAGCACAGAAGTGTACTGAGTGTCCAAATGTACTCCTGATTATTCGTTGGGATCCAATCAACTCGCTCATCTTGCCTTCTCCTTCCTTAATTGTGTTCGTCTTGATTGGCTTGTTATCATCTTCGAGACAACTCTACAAGAGTATAGTCATGCGTCTTAAATGTAAAGGCAGGATAATCCCCTCCGTGTGAAGTCTGATTGCCAAATCTACATTTGAATCACCATTGGAGAATTAGCTGTCCCAAGTGAACTCCTTATGAATTTTTTAAGCTAAGCAAAACAATCGTAAACTGTAGATATCCAGCACTGTTTTCCCAAGTTTGTGGCTATGAAGTGGTGTATTATACGAATATTACTGATCAGGAACATTGATTAACATGGTTATGGAGAATTTATCTTTCAACCTAATTATTTATCTGGTGTACTCGTAGAGAATAGTAGTCGTACCGTTATATGTAAGAAAATTGTATCATAAGAATATGATATGTATCCGTTGATAAACACAGTGTTTGGCGTGAGTATGGATATTGACCCGGATATATCCCTGTCGATACTGCCCGAGTTTGTCCACTAGGTACTCTACGATGAGTTTCCAGTTCTTTCGCATTCTGCAATGTTTCCGTTCTCTACCTCGTTATCTTACGGTGTGGTCTATGTCTACACTGTTGTTACTTCTACAAACCATTGGCTGACTGGTTCATTTTCTCATTTCCTTGGTTTTAAACGGCTCGATTAACTTTTGGTTGTGTATTCCGTGACATAAAGTTCTTGAGCATTTTGTTAGAAATGAGGATCTATTATAATGGATTTGTCTTTGAGTTGTTGAGCAAGTGACCACTGAGGTGTTTCTCTTCATCTCTGATTATTCTGATAATCCCCTTTTTTATGACGCAGGCTTTGACAGGACCTCCTTACGGTTTGTTGCAAGGTACATTGGCAGTCCAAGCTGTAACGTTCAAGGAGATGCCTGTTGAAGCATGTCCTGTGATCGCAAGGGGTATGGTGGGCTGGATTGGTGGTGGTCCCGATTTTTTCATAAGCCTAGCAAATCATCGAGAGTGGTCTCCAAAGTTCACAGTTTTTGCTCATGTCCTAGCAGAAGACATGGAAATTGTGGAAAATATCTCACTTCTACCAACCACTGCATCAGTATGGTCTGGTGTAACAGTTGCGATGCTCAATGAACCAGTGTCCATCAAGATTGGCCGTCCCGATTCTTCAAATATCGCAGAGGTTGTGTCAGGCTAAGAGGAAGTTGTGATCTGCATTGAAAGCTGCTTTTGGCACTAATTTTGATGCCCTGTTTAGGGATGCGTCTTCACTTACATTTGGTGGAGTTGTATCAAAGGAATGAAAAGAGAATTATCACATGTGGCAGCCACATGTGGTTTTACCATTTTGTGTCATTAGAATACTGAAAGGATCAAAGGTGCAAACTGCGCTTTGAGCCAAGGCCAGGTAGATCAATTTCATGATGAGTTCAGGTTCCATATTAGACTGAATGCCAAAGGTATGAAGGAAATTAGATTTCTTTCTTCAGTATAAGCAACAATAGAGGCTTGGTTTTTGAAATCAACCAAATCGTTGCAACTGTAGATACACTTGGTAATATGTACAGCAGTGAATAATTACCGTTCCAAAATGGCTCAAGTTAATAGGACCTATGTTGAATCATCAAACCGAGCCATGTCAATTTGCCATCTACATAGCTGTTTGTCTGTCTCCTCCTCATCTTGTAACATTGTCCGGAGTGTTCTACGGAGCTGATTGGTGTGATGTGGGTACATACTGATTTGATGAGGTATTCAAAGGGCAATACTCATGTTTATTATTGTGTTGTAGTCTCACCGTCAAATATCTCATTGACTTCACAAACAAATTGGATCGACTGTTATTTATTATAGGTAAATGTTGATTTGCTTTAGGACTACTTACCTTTGGGGTTCACGAGCTGTCTTTGGAATAGTGTTCGAATTTGTGTCTTGTCTCAAAACTTGACCTAGCAGTAATGTTCATTGTTGCCTAAGGATCATTTACTCAAGTATAGTTTGCACTTGTGAGATGGTGGATTAATCAGACTTGGGGGTTGAGAGGAATGTAGTTGAATTTGAATTGCAACTTGTATCAAGATGCAGAGTGTTTTGTTGAAACATTGATATCATGAGATTTACTAAGGGTCCTTGTAAAGCAAAGATTGAGTGAATGCAAGTGCAAGTTGTCTCCACGGACAGATATGTCTTTACTAAATAGACCATGTATCTATACACATCCATGCAACCACTAAAGATTACGTTTCCATAGCGTAGATAAATCAATTCAGTTGAGCAAATCTTTTTGTGATACTATATGTTGAATGTATGAATTCATTGACTTCTAATTTGATTCTCCTCAAAATGAAGTAGCCATATATCAAGATAGTCCACTTTTTTTACTATTATTGATGGGGTAGTAAGAAATGAACTTTCTCGGTAAAACAAAGACGTGGGTATTGAAAAGAGATACAGTTGAGAGAACAAAAATCTCGTTAACGTATGTTGTGGGTCAGAGCCCACTTGACCATACAAGATACAAGAAAAGCCCATCTTGAGTGGAAGAGTAGTAGTACATAGTGGTGAAGAAGATATGAATAACAAGAGAAATCTAGTTTGGGTTTTTCATGTGATGGAAAAGAGTTTATAGGACGAAATGAAACGAGTTATTCTTAGCAACTCGAGTGACGAAATTAGAAAGTTACAGATTTTGATTGCTACTTGGAATCAACGTGTAGTTCTCAGGAGTTATAAAATTCAACTTTTTAAGAGCATGAATAAGATGATCAGATAGGTAGAAAATTAATTTTATAAGAATCTCTGAGCCTAAACTAAAACTTGTACTTTTTGGAATAGGAATAAAGGAGGGAATTCATACTATTATATTCCAGGATTAAGAGATGTAACTAACTTGTTCAAAAGTATGAGCAAACTCATCACGTTAAGAAGATTATACATTGTACTATTCTCTATATATATAGAGATGAAGTAAGTCTTGCATCATAAAGAACAATGGAAAACAAAATTGCTGTGAATAGATTGATATTTATATGTTCATATTGCTAAATAATCTATATCTCTTTCATAAAATACTATGAAGTAAAGTCATATGAGTTTGGTTCATATTTGTAAATTCTCGAATCTTTTTAATATCTCATAAGAATAATTTAAATTTTGGTTTACTAAAGTTCATTTAATCATGATTAGTTTAAAGTTTTAATTTTCACTATATGAGGAAGTTGATTAAAATTCTCATTGACAGAAATCAGAATTTTCATGATAAAACTTGTTGTGTTATCTTGAATGCATGGCAAAGTGATGAAATCTAGAATTTTTCAAAGTGATCATATTGATTCATAGAGGAAACCATACTCCAGGAGATTGTTAGGAGTTAATTTGGTTAGTTCACCTTTGTGAGAAGACTGATAGGAATTGGTTAGTTCACCTTTGTGAGAAGACTGATAGGAATTAATTCACATCTTTGTTAACTCTGGTTAGTTTACCTTTGTTTGTTAATCTTTCATAATATCAAACAACTCATTGAAATGATGAGTTATACCAATTAGAATTTTCTCAGTAAAGCTTGTTGTAATTAACTAGACATAGTTCGAAGTGATGAATCACATTTTTTTTTAGTACACTGTCTCTATTTATATTTTTTGTGTGTAGCATGCTTTGTAAACGTAAAACCTGAGAATCATAAGCGACAAAGCATTGAGATTAATAACCAACACAAGAGAATCAAGCTTATAACGTGGTTCATCTTCAAGGGCTACGTCCACAGGAAAGAGCATCGTGAGATTATATTGTACATTCTGTCTCATAATACATATACTCTAGATATATATACCCAACATTGGCGACCAATCTAGCTATAAATAACTAAAACATAAAATTACTCTATAACTTGAGTTAACCTTAACAATCTCCCTCTTAACTCATGTTAAGGGAACAATAAACTCTATACCTATATTATTAATCCTCAAAAAAAATTCTAGATGGAAATCTAACACAAGGCTCATATTCACAAGACAGTTAACTAGAACTCAGTCGTAGTCATTACAAGATAGAATTATAACGGAAAGAGGATACTAAAAATCTGCTAGCATAGGAGGCAACAGGAACATCGTAACCTATATAATAATTCCGCAAAAAGTTCTAGAAAAGAATCTAATACAATGTATCTCTTTACACAAGATTTAATTAAAACTATGCCCTAGCCATCACATGATAGATTAAATATATAAAGAGATGTTAATATGTTAGCAAACTCTACCTATATTTTGTTAGTAAATGTGAGTATGCTACTCGCTATCACACAATAAAATAACCGCGTAAACATGATCACTTGCGAGTAGATGATCACAGATTATACCTTTGCTCGCACGTCGCAGCGGAAGTCTTGATGAAGCGCGCGTTATCGATCCGATCGACGTCGAGGAGGTAATCGTACGATCTGATGAAGTACGCAACTGAGCGACACCTCTACAACAATCCACACGTACGCGATGAAACGACAAACTGGAACGTGCTAACACTTCACATCTTGTCCTCAAAGATACCCGCGATCAACCTTTGATCCGAGAGAGAGAATTGCAGCGGCGCATTAGCGGTTGCATTTGGGCAGGAGACTCCATGCGGCAGGCAACAGCAGCCCTGCGGCACTAGGCTGGTGCGGTAGCAAGCAGGTGTGCGGTGACTGGCCAAAGGAATCACACCTATTAGGGTTAAATCTAATTAGTATTTACAGACCTGCTCATTGGGCCAGCCCCTCTTGGACATTACCAGGAGTCTTTCACTTGCACAAGAGTTAATTATGCAAGTATCCATGCGTTCCAATTCCTTAAGTGTGTGACCCCGTAGGTTCATGCAATCTACGGGCATGATTCAAAAACCATTTCTGATCAATAGTTAGCATTGGCCTCTAGCAAGGCGTATTGACTCCCAGACATGATTCAAAAATCATTTCTAATCAATAGTTAGCATTGGCATCTAGCAAGACGTACAGACTTCCGAAGGTTCACAAAGATCATATCTTGCATAACCTGTAACACTCGCCAATATTATATCCTTCTGCCACATGCCATCTAGCCAAGTATAAGGCGAATGAAGTGCTACACTTATTCTTAGCCATTTCTCGCTCAGTGACGAACTTTTCTAATCGATTAACCTTTAGTGTAGGCATGGCCATGCGCCTTCAATTCATCACATCGAGAGGGCCTAGAGAAGTCTCTCCTTGAAACGGGAGGGGCAGATTCTTTCTTGACTCGGTACACCTTGCGACTTGCTTCAACCACATCCTAAAATTGCTTTTATAACTACCCAATTACGGAATAGCGTTTAACAATTCCAAGATGTGATGCTCCAGAATCCGGGACTCTGCACCGATCTAAGGTCAGTGGACGTAATATGCATATCGTTACGAGACTCACCGATAGCAGTGTATTCGCGGTGTCTCGTTGTGAGTCTGTCCGGCACCGTGTTCCTAACACGTGCCTACATTGTTGGCGCCATATACCATATTGCCATGACCTGTGAAACAAGACCATCTACCGAACACATGTACCAGCTTATCTCTACATCACAGTCCCACATGACGGATGGAAGCTACGGACCATTTTTAGTACAATGTCAATATTGTATTACGGAGTTTCACTAACGAATCACGTATTTGCTAATCACATATAATGACAAAATCATGTAACATATCACTGAAAAATGCAGATTACAAACGTTGACATGATGTCATCATCTCATGACTACCTTTATGGAATACATCATCATAAGCCTCCCACTAGTGCTGGTTAGTTATGCCAGTTTCTCATGCCCATTGACTTCATATGCATCTCATGCTTTGCTTGTGGGAGTGGCTTAGTCAACGGATCTGCAATGTTCAGGTCGGTGTGCACCTTGCATATCTTCAAATCTCCTCGATCGATGATATCTCGAATCCGGTGATATCGTTGTAGTATGTGTTTGCATTTCTGGTGCGACCTAGGCTCCTTTGCCTGTGCGATAGCACCACTATTGTCACAATAGAGGTATATCGGACAGGAGCAATTAGACACCACGCTCAACTCAGAAATAAATTTTCTGATCCATACAGCTTTCTTTGCAGCTTCCGAAGCTGCAATATACTCGGCTTCGGTTGTCGAATCTGCAACTATCTCTTGCTTGGAACTTTTCCAGCTCACTGCTCCACCATTGAGGCAAAAGACATATCCTGATTGAGATGTACTATCACCTGGTCGGTTTGGAAGCTAGCATTAGTGTAACCCTTTACAACGAGCTCCTCCAAACCTCCATAGACTGGTAACATATCCTTAGTTCTTCAGAAGTACTTTAGGATATTTTTTACTGCAACCTAGTGACCATCACCCGGGTTGGATTGGTACCTGCTCGTAACACTTAGAGCATACAAAATGTTTGAGCGCGTGCACAACATAGCATACATGATAGATCCAATAGTCAAAGCGTATGGCATCCGACTCATCCTTTCTTGCTCATCAGGTGACGACGCACATTGAGTCTTGCTCAAGGTTACACCATGTGACATAGGTATGAATACTTTCTTGGAATCATTCATGTTGAACCTATTCAAAATCTTGTCAAGGTACATGCTCTGGGTTAATCCAACTAATCGTTTAGACCTATCTCTATAGATCTTTATGCCCAATATGTAGGCTGCTTCTCCAAGATACTTCATAGAGAAACTCTTTCTCAATGAGGCCTTGACATCCTCCATAAGCGGAATATCATTCCCAATCAATAGTATGTCAT